AATTTTATCCTAAAAGTTACATAGATGTACATATTAATACAGCAATTTAGCAGTTTTGCAATGCATGTCATAACCATTTTCCAACTAGAGATCCTGAATGACCCTATGAGGTAGACAAAGAAAATAGCCTCATGCTCATTTTAAAACTACAGTAACAGAGACTCCAAAACATTAAGGGGTGAATTCAGGGTAAGAACTAGTCTGCTGACTTTTGATTTCTCATCTAAAAGTATCTTCGTGGTAACAATCACTTTAGAAATGAAAAGAAATCAGTTACGCCCCCCTTGGATGTCATGTGAGCTCTCTGCTCTCTGTAAGCTATCTAGCTATCACACAAGAAATCTGAAACGCACTCTTATCAAGGATTACAATACATTTTGGTTGGTACTGAAATATCTACTTGTACTTCTATTACTTGCATTCCTGTATTGAAGTTTATAATTTCTTTTAATTAAAAATTAATGATTGTTCATGATGCAGGCTTCGGAGAGCTAAGTTCCTTCTATTGTCCTCATATAAAATTGAAGACAGAAAATAATACCAACCTGACTGTGAGCTAACACACAGATGGTTTCCCTGGTAATACATATGTGAGAGACTCCAGAATCTCCCCAATTTCCATTCACTCTTTCACAGTGGCTGTTCAAACTGCTAATGTGGGTGTGCCTGTGTGACGGCAAGCCATTTTGTGTGTAAGTGCTTATAAGTGACAGGGCAAGGGTGAGGGCAAAGCAGTGTTTACCCAAAAGCAAGTGTATATATGTGTGTGTGTGTGTATGTATATATATATATATATATCCTCTTAACAATGAGTATGGGAGAGCAGGGGACATGAAGCCATGAGGATTTCTTTGAGTTCTTATAAATGTGATAAAAGAAGAACTTAAGTGAATTTGGCAGTACATAAAGTTATTTTCTTTCTAAAATGAAGGTTCACAAGCCAAATCTATGTATTCATGTTCTATTATTTAAAATACTGAGGACTGGCTGTGTTCTGGGTTTTACGAAGCAGTGGAATACCTCTTCAATAGCTCATGAAAGTTGTTTTTCTCTACTGTGGGTTTAAGAAACCAACTCATACTCTGTTAATAAGAGCTAATATTTCTGCATCCTAACTGTGTCAAGTATATTCCTAGGGTTTTATGTACATTATTTCAATTAATATTGCAATAGGTATCATAACAATCTCAAGAAGATGGTCTTTTTTGAAAAGAATAACTGAGAATAAGAGAAAGTAAGGAATTAGTCCATGGTGATCCAGACAGGATGCAGTGGAGCCAGAATTTAAACTCAAGTGTCTGACGCCACAACCATTCTTTTTATCAGGAGGTAACATTGCTGTCCCAAAGCTGTGAATGGTAGCGCCAATTGAAAGGGAATACAATATCTTTGAGCTCTGTGGGTGAGATCTTTGCTTTTTTTTTTTTTGGTATTTTGTACGATCTTATTAAATGTTGAAACTAAAAAAACAAACTTGTAACATGATTTTGAGTCTTAATCTCATAATTAAGCATGCTGTTGATAAGTTAGAGAAGGTGGCACATAAATGCAATTCATCAGGACAAGAATGAAATGAATTATTTGCTGAGTTATTTGAAACAACAGAAGTACAAAACAGAGTAGAACTCACATTTTATAATAGAAAAAAAAAAATCAGGAAGTCAGGGGGAATGCCAGGTGAAATGCTTTTTGATCTGAGCAGGAAACATGTTACTTCATTCTGGTTTTAGAATAGGAGTAGTGATCATCACCAACACAACTCGTTTTCCTTCTCTAATTGCAGACTTGTGGGGAACTGAGGAAGGCTCGGTTGTGCAAGAGTGAAGCTCTCTCTGCCTAAACGCTTCTGAAGTTGCCTCATGTTGAGTGAACACTATGAGGTGCAGAGCTTTCCACACGAAATTGTGTATCTGAATTTAGGGAAAAGCACCCTTCCCTAGGCATCTCCCTAACATATTGAACATGTGATATGTCTTTACAAGCTGATATCTGCAGAGGCAGTGAGACCCAGGTTTTTCTGTATCCCATCTCTCTGTCTCTGTCATCTTATCACAAATTACTTGGTCAGAAGAAACAGGCTTTTTTGCTTTTCCTTCCTGTCTGGTCAGGACTTTCCTTCACACTGTATTGCTCTCCTTGTTGAGGGAGTAGCCGTTCCTTCTCCCTTTCTTAACACTATGATGAGACAAGAGATCTAAACATGCTCACGGATATGTTTTGAGAGATATATTTAAAATAAGGTAAAGCTTTATTACATTTTTGTTTCCATCTAAGCCTGTCTTTGAAGAAATGGTCGTGTTTTTTTCTTTTTTTTTGAGATTTAAAGATTTAATAAGGATGAAAAGAGAATAAAACTAGCAAGCTTTGAGTTAAAGCAAAAGATAGCCAAAATGATGCTGGTTAGCAACATGAGTTAAGCCACATAACAGCCTTATGGGGATACAAATCAATGATTCAGAGATTAGTAGTCTGAAGCTCCAATTTAGGTAGCAGAGAGAAACTTAAATGTGGTTAGTACCAGGAATTATAGTTTCAGTTAGGGTCTTAAGGCACTGATGTCCAGAAAGAATCCCAGCGTGTTAGAGACTAGATGACAGTGGGAGGTATGATAAAGAGAATGAATAATAAAGATTGTGCAAGTAAAGGTCTAGGGTAAGAATGTTGTGCTAAAGAGAGAAATTCATTCCCTGTACAAAATATTAAATCACCATACTCATTATTGCATTTACTAAAAATAAACAAGCACTTAGGGAAGATCGCTGATTCCAAGCTGTATATTTTAAGAGTGCCTAGAAAACAATGTGAGAATATTAAAAAAAAAAAAAAAGAAGAAGAAGCAGCAGCTAGGTCTTTGTTTTATAATCAGTACTTCTTTATTCTTCGCAGGCAGGAGTAGTGTACTGCATGAGGAAGACAACAGTGTTAATAGATGGCAGGAAGAAAGAAGGACCTCTCTCTTCTTGCTTCTACCCTTTTTTTTCTGGCAAAGATATTATAATAGAAGAGAAACATCAGAAAAAAATTTAAGGAACAAATATTTTAAAACATAAGTTGAAATCCAAGTTAGTCAAGAAATTGAGAGGAAACCTGTTTTTAATGAATTCAGATGTCTGGTTCTAATGGATAATAACATAGGGGGCGTTGAGCAAATCTGCAAAACCTCACTGGTTGTTAACAACAGTGTCACAACAACAAGCTGGAAAATGACGAAGAATTAAAATGGCCCCAGTAAACTGTAAATAAATAGGCAAAGTCACTGTCAAAGTCAAGAAAATGCTTGATATCACTGTAACAAAACAATTATAGGATAGATTGTGAAAAGTAATGGTTTGGGCCTTCATCTGAATATAGTGACAAAATATTATTCTCTTTCTGGAAAGCATGCACAACCATCAAGAAGGGAAACAAAATTATAAAACCCAAATAAATAAATAGAATCTATTTTTTGGGGAAAACTAGAAGTCAACCCAAACTCCAGATTCTCAAGTAGCTGGAATGATGCTCAAATGAACAGAAATAGAATAGGTGGACCCCTGAAAGAAAGTGGAGGCAACAAGGATCCCATTGGGAGAACTGGCTTTGACTGTAGATTTCAAGAACTAGCAAAAAAACCATTTTTAAACTAAGAGGCCTAACCTGAAGTGTGAAACCGAAGTCCGCAGTGTACAATATGAAGAGCAACATGATAGAGTGTAGTCTTTCTATCAGGGAAAAAACCCATGGCTACTTATTCTTGTTGGTTGTAGAGAATTCACAGCTAAGCAATTCTCAGGCAGATCATGGTCACTGGATGTATCCCCTGTCTCAGGTGAAAATTCTGAAATAGCCAAATCAGAAAAATAGACAACAAAAACAAAACAACAACAACAACAACAAAATGTATCCAAATAAAGAATAAATTTAAAAGGCAGAGTAGTGGAATAAACAGAAAAAGAAAATGAAGATGAAGGATATTGTGGCAGCTGTTGCTTTCCAACTTCTATGCTTGTCCCCTAAACCTAATCTCATCCATTTTGTGAGCAACAGAATCCTAATTGATAGTTTTCACGACCCATCTAGCTGAGAAACTACATCTCCCAATTTCCTTTAAACATACACATGGCTCCTTGAGTAAATTTGGGTCAAAGAGATATATAAGCAGAAGTGTTAGGTGAAACTTTTGTAGAATTACTTGAAAGGAAAAATGGTCCCTTCTTCCCTCCCTCATTCTCCACAGTTGAATTTCTAGCCAGAAGGCGATACAGTGAGTCAGAAAGATCGTAGTTAATATTGTGATACACTTACCAGCTTGAGGCTACCTGCTACCAAGATTTTTTGTGTGTTTGTACATGAATTGGGGATAAATTTTATTTGTGTTATAGTCTTTTTGGGTTTTAGTGCTACATGCAGCTGTAAGCAAACTCACAACGGAAAAATGTCCTCATGGAACAGAGTAAAAATTTTCATTTGACAAGACTTTACTTATTAAAATACAGAAATAATTTAAACATTCTATAAAAGAAGTATATAAAACAAAAGCATAAGTACTTGAGAAAAATGATATGATAACAGCAGGAAATTAAAATAAGTTGGTATAACTGGAAAAAGTGAAAAGAAAAAATATAAAACCATCACAAAAAGCAGGATCAATTTTGAGGATCACAATGAGAATAAACACTGTAGAAAACAATTAAAGACATTGATGACAAACTGAAATGAAAATCATAGAAGAGTTTAAAAGGATTAGAGAAAAGCAAAATATATTAAAATACTCATAATTATTCTTTTGCAAAGAATAGAGAGATCTATAGAGATCAGCAAACTATATTAAAATACTCATAATTATTCTTTTACAAAGTTAATGGAAAGATTGAACAAAACAAATATTTAAAGATATAATTTTAAAATAAACAAAAATTTGAATTACGTGTTGAAGGAACATACTGTTTTCCATGAAAATTTACCAGAAAATTAACGAAGGCACATACTGGTAAATATGCTGAACTTCCAAGATAATGATGGTATTCTTTGGCATCACTTATGAACAATGAAAAAGCCAAGCTAGCCCTAGACTTCCTTAGACATGAAGAAAGTACAGTAATACCTCTGATATCTGTGTACATAGTTGCTAACTTGGTGTCCTTGCCAGGGGTTGCAGTGTGGCAGAAATGGAAGATCAGTGGAGGCTTCCATTTCACCATCTTTTTCTGCCTCTATGTTATATTTTATATCCTGAAAAATTAAAACAGTATGTCACAAGCATTCTGATTAATAGGTCAATGGAACAGAAGAAAATACAAAAGAATATACACATTGGATTTAATATGGTAGCAGTATATCAAATCATAAAATGAAAATATGTTATTTAATGAATGATGTTGGGACATATGGATAACTACCAGAAAAAAAAAATAGTTTGATTTATACCCAATTCTTTACATGAATAAAATTTCAAATGGGCTCATGATTTAAATGTACAAAATATAACTATTAGAGTTTTTTTTAAACTGTGGGAGAATTATTTTATAATCTCTGAACAGAGATTTTTTTTTCTATGACACAATACTTTGAAGTCATGAAAGTGTAATAAATGTTAATACAAACAAATGAAAAATTATATGTAAAATCTGGAAAAATATTTATAGTTTATATAAATAATAAAGATTTAATTTTCTTAAAATATGAAAAGTTGCTAAAATCCAGTAAAAACTTTGAAGCCATAAAAGTGCAACAAATGAAAAAATATACATAAAATCTGGAAAAATATTCATAGTTTATATAAAAAATAAAGGTCTAATTTTCTTAAAATATGAAAAGTTGCTACAATCTGATAAAAAAAGAACACTTTTCGACATGGAAAAATGCAAATTAAAACTACATTGATGTATAATACTTTACCTATCAAAATAAAGATTCAAAAGTTTGGCAAGTTCTTGCAAACATAGAGGTATAAGGAAACAAGATTTCTCTTACATTGGCGGAAGTGTCATGAATTGGCACAACTGCTATGAAGGGAAATTTGGCAATATCTATCAAAATTACAAATGTGAAACTTATGACAAAGCAGTTCTACTTCAAATTTCTACAGATATAGCTTACATATGCAAAATAATGTTTATGTAAGGTTTTTTCTTTAAAAATTCTTAATAATGGTATTTCTGGTTCTACAGCCTTGAGGAACTGTCTTCCATAATGTTTGAACTAATTTACATTCCCACCAGCAGTGTAAAAGCATTCCTATTTCTCCATATCCTCTCCAGCATCTGTTGTTGCCTTTTTAATGATCACCATTCTTACCAGTGTGAGATGGTATATCACTGTGGTTTTGATTTGCATTTTTCTAATGAGCAGTGATGATGAGCTCTTTTTTCATGTTTGTTGGCTGCATAAATGTCTTCTTTTGAGATGTGTCTGTTCATGTCCATCACCCACTCTTTGATGGGGTTTTTTTCTTGGAAATTTGTTTAAGTTCTCTGTAGATTCTGGATATTTGTCAGATGGATAGATTGCAAAAATTTTCTCCCATTCTATAGGTAGCCTGTTCATTTTGTGAGTAGTTTCTTTTGCTGTGCAGGAGCTCTTTAGTTCAATTAGATCCCATTACTGGACAAAACAAAAATGTCATTAACATAAAATATGTTAAATAAAGTATGGTATATTTAACTAATAGAAGACCATTTGATAATAAAAATTAGTATGGAACATTTACAAATATTGATATGAAAAGTTCCCCAAAATATAGAATTTTAATAAATAAAAAGAACAAGGTATGAGTGTGTGTGTGTATTGTCTGTGCATCGACACACATTTAATTACTATTGAAGAATACACAGAAATTAATAACTGGTTTTTCATGAGAAGGGAAATAATGGACTCTGAACAGATATAGGAGAGACTTTCTACCCTTTATCCTTTTGGAATTATGAGACTTCCTGAATTTGAGCATTAATAAGCTAAGACTAGCCCCCACAGCACCGAAAATATAAAGCAAATATACATGTATATATATAACAACTCATGACTTACAAGATGTAGAAAGAATGCAGTCATAAACAGAACTTCTCATTAGTGAACTAAGGAATAATTTATACCAAACTAACCACATTTCTTTTAATAAATTCAGTGATTTGTTAAGGGACTATTACAGATAGGTTGTATTTTGACTCCAGATTTTTAAACAAATCACTTAGGATATTTCTGGGCAAAAATAAAATAAATGCAGGACATGGCACTTGAGTGGATTTACAACCAGCTGAAAACCTACAGCCAATAACAAGAAATATCACCCCTGTGGTGATATAAACTGCAAGAGAGGCGTTAAGAGCCATTCCCAACAACTTGCATTGATATTAAGATTTGCTAATATGGTTTAAAAGAGAGTTGTCATCCAAAATAGTCTTATGTATTAAATGGGTGCAAATGTAAGTGTGGTTTTCACTATTACTTTTAATGGCAAAAACTGCTATGACTTAATTGAAATAATGTATTGAATAGGCTTGGGTTCCTAGCTATGCATGATAATTTGTTGGGAAAATTTATGAAGAATAAAGAGGAGAAAGCAGTAATAAAAGCACCTTCAGAATGCAATGCAGATGTAACAGCTGTGAACAAAGAGGAAGAAGGATGGAAGATTAGGCAGGAAGGGTCTCAGGCTGTAGCCCACTTCCAAAAAGGCTTTAGGCAGGACTTCAGCCCTCAAACCAAGGTCACCTGTTAGAGGATACCTGCGTCCATAGAAACAGGCCAGCACTAGTATCTCTCACCTTGTCCAGTCTTTGGCTGGGAACAGCGTGGGGAAAGTATAGCCTTATGAGAATGCAGTAGTTGTTTCCAGAGGGGTGGCAGTTACTTCCCACAGTGAAAGATCTGAAAAGCACGTATGTCATTATAGTCTATCCCTTGCACAGATCTATTTGTTTATGACCATTCGAGGGGCAGCTCCTCCATGGTTTTTTGGGGAATTAGGAGGGTTCTTCCTTCTTTATAAAAGGGACACTTACAAGTAGGAGATTAGTAAGATGAATTGTTGCCCCATCACTGCAGTTACTTACTCACCCTCAGCTGTGACCATAGCAGGTATTGATGGCTTATCTGAGGCACCTCTCTCAGGATGTGATTTATGTACATCTTTTCACCATTAAAATTGCTCCAGAAATCACCTGAGTTCCACACGTATTCCCTCCTGCCTCTATTGTGAACAAGTGGCCCTTCCTCTGCCTGATAATCAGTGTCAAATATTCCTGTCAAGATGGTGGTACCTCTTCTCAACTGATAGTTTTTGTCAAAAATTTTAAAGTACCCTGGCAGCAGCAACAGATTGTGGTTCAAAAGAACCCTTACCATACTACCTGGTAATGATTTAGCAAGATGCTATAGAAAGGGGACCAAGACTTATACCCCTGCAGAACTCAGAACTGTAGAAACAGGAACTGGGAGTGATGGAGAGTAAGCCACTCCTACTTCCACCTCTTCGTTTCTGAATCCATATATTCTTTCTACTAGGGGAGGGTGGGGGTAGGGGAAGCAGAGCAATGTAAAGTTTTCTGATTTAATATATACACTTCATCATGAAGGAGAGAAACCCATCCTTTCCGAGTATTTCTCTAAGGTGGCACTTTATCTTTGCCTATGAGGCTGGCTGCCTGATTGCATGTGATATACTCACAGGATTCCATGACTACAGACCTGTCCCTGAACATCCTTTGCTGTTCTGATGCCATGTTGGGACAGATTTCCCACTTATAAGTTAGGTATTCCTTAATCCCTTTCATAGTACTGTTGGATGATACTTTTGGGGCAAGAAAAGCAAATCCATATCTGGAATAAATCAGTCTCTGAAGAACAACCTCTGGCTCTTCCAGATCACAAGGAGTCCATTGCAGTCAGCTTATTACCAAGTGACTCATGGGTCTTTGAGGTAGCATCAGATTGGGGGTTCCGCAGTGGTCTCTGCTGCTGACAGGTTGGAAATTCAGAGGCAGCAGTGGGTATATCAGTAGTGGGAGTTTGTTACCACTTCATATAGAGTCCATTTGTTTCTATAGATCACATACTGGTTATTTTTCTAGTATTTGAGTGTCTAATGAATGGTTGGGCCAATAAGAGACTTCTCTATCACTGTGACCCCATTCCACTTTAGTATTCATTATGTCAGTAGTAGGGGTGACTAGTGATTAATGCTGGTATCTTTATTTGGCTTGCTGTAACAAAATACTATAGACAGGATTATTAAAAATAAACACTTTTCATAATTCTAAAAGCTGGAAGTCTGAGATTAGAGTGGTTGGGGGTCTATAAAGGCCATCTTCTGGTTTGCAGACAGTTGTTTTCTCTTGGTATCCTCACATAGTAAAGAAGACAAGAGAACTCTCTGTGGTTCCTTTTATAACCGCATTGATACTGTTATGAGGGCTCCACTCATGACTTAATTACTTTCCAAAGGCCCCACCTCCTAATACTATCACACTGAAGGTTAAAATGTTAGTATATAAATTTGGGGCTGGAGGCAAAAGATGCAGTCCCTTGAAGCTGGTTAATGTCAGTTGCCTGATTCATTTTGTCTGGTGGGATGTTCTGTGCCACTTTAATGGTAGAGGCTTTCTGTGGGGCACTAACTTTAGAGCCCATTTAGAGACACAAGCATTGTCACACTTTATGCTCACCCCCGTATTACTATCCATATTCCTCTAACCAGACCTCCTTATCCACCCTGTCTCATATTTTCCAGCCCTTGTCCTATCAGTCCCTTGATTAGTGGGCATGACTTTGCTTCAGGATTACAAGGACTTGAATTGTCATTGATATCAATCAAATACCACGTTTTCTCACCATTGATATTTCCAACACCATAGGCTCTTCCAGATTGTATGACCCAAGTGGCAGGGCTGTTTGCACCACAGTATAGACTTGCTGAGAAGCCCTGTTATGCTTTGAGCACCACCCAAAGCTGGCAGCTTTTGATATCATCTGGTATATGAGGTACAGAAGTAATTCTTGGTGTGGCCATATTGTTTCTAGACCCCAAAGAGGCCTACCAGGAGCTGCTTCCATTTTTACAGTTGCTCCTACCTTGCTTATCATTGTGACTGTTGTGTCATAATGGCTTCTGGCTTCTGGCTTTTGGCAGTTAAGAACTGCCACCTGGTCCCTATTACTTTGTGGTCCTATCATCCACATGGATAGTAATGATCTCTGTGACCAACTCTCAGGTCTGGCTTACAAAGGACAGTCACCATTGAACTTCTGAGTGATTCTGGTGGCAGTCTCATCAGTGCATTCCTGACGGCCTGGTGAATGCCTATTCTCTGAGTCTTCTCATGGACCATGATCCTCTTGAAAGTCTCCTGGATTCACATAATGTATTTATCCCAACGTTCTCTTTGCTGTCAGCTTTATTATTATTTCTTTCTCTGCTGGCTATAAGTACAACTCAGGTATTTCTACTTTACTCAGTTTGAGTTATTATTTTCTCTGTGCTTCTAATAGCCATCTAGCAGTGACTTTGCCTTCTGGGACCCCCTGGGATCTTTGCCAGGATGTTAATTCTTGTGTACCAAGTAAATAACCCCAATGAGATGAATAATTTTGTATTCAGATTTGTGTTATTATCTCCTTGATTAAGCACCCTTAAAACTCAAACTAGGGTTTGTGACCTCTCCTGGATCCTTGCTGGTACATCTTCCTAAATCTTGCAGTTCCTTGGGCATATAATCTCCTTTTCCTCAATCAGGTGCAGCACACAGTATGTTAGGCTATGCTGAGATTTTGTTTTAGTTATAAGCGTGGAAGCCAGGAGAGAATGTGGAAATGTTGGGGGATTGGCAACTTGTGGGGGTGGATGGAGGCTCTGCAGAATCTTCCAGCTTGAAGAAATACTAGCTGTTACTAAAGAGAGGTATTGGAGTTCTTATTAGATGCCTCAGAACATTTGCAAGATTAGTGTGTTTTGCAGAGTCAACATCTCCAGAGGCAATCATCAACCTATTTCAGTCCCATCTTTCAGGACTCATGATCAGGGCCCTGACCTGTCTTAGCTGAGAAGTCTCTGGAACTCTGTGTCCCATCAAATCCCAAGTGTGCTTTTTGGCTATATTCTCTCTTCTATCCTTCGTGGTGTTCTCCTATAGTGGATATTTTCTGAGGTCACCATCCATGAAATTCTTCAGGAATCAAGCTGCTGCCCTGAGCCAAGAATCAGCTATATTCCCCTGACCAGTCAGAATGGCTTTCATTTTGTACAGTAGGTGGTGAATGAGCCAGGCTCCAAATTTCATCTGACTGGCAGGCTTCGTGGACCACTCTTAGTATTGTCTGTGTAATTCAGGTTCTTTGCAAAGCAAATGCCAAATGGAATTGGATTATGAGGATTTCCTTGGGAAACACACCTGTGAATGATAAAAATTAAGAAGCAGGAATAGGCAGAGAGCACCTTTAGAATGCACCATAAACCTGATACCTAATAAAGAAAGGGGAAGGAAGAAATAAGGAGGAAGTGTCTCAGACTAGAGGAAAGTTTAAAGTTTTTGCCAGAGGGAGGGTAGCTTTTGAGCCAGGGTTGCTTGCACTAGTACTTCCCACTGTGTTCAGTCATTTACTGGGCAAAGCCCAGGAGTACCATGACCACTATGCAAATGAATTGGTAGATCCAGATGTGGGGATTGGAGGACTGAAGCTGTCAGTCAACTATTATTCCCAAGCTGAGAATCTACATAGCTATCACATGCACCAAGTGTGACCAAGCATTCAACTGGGGTAAACACGTAGTCTTAAATTTGGATTTAAAAAGAAACAACAAAAACAAAACAAGTAATTCATTCATTCTTACTAGGGCAAAAGACACAGTATGATAAAAGTTAATTTAATAAAAATCTGAGGATTCTTACTCCTCTCGTTTTCAATAATGCAACAATAGGGAGTAGCACCCTTAGATGTGATTGGCATCTCATGCTGCACTTGTTAGAATATTGCGTCCAATTTCCAAACGGTAATAGCCCTCCTGTTCCTCGCACTGATGAGATCCCATCACTGGTTTGTTACAAATTCTGTGTGACAAACAACTATATACAGAAGAAAGCCACATGAAATTCTGGTCAAACAAACAGTTGAACGAAATGGAATATTTAGTTGGCAGAAAAAAGTACTGTCAAATATTTGAAGGCTGTCTTGTGGAAGAACGAAAAGACTTGTTTTGTTTTGCTCTAGGGAGCAGAATTAATAACAATGAGAGGTAATTACAGGAAGTCAGATTATAGCTCAGTAAAAGAAAATGTCTGTAACAATTAGAGTTATCCACCATTTGAACCGGCACATCAATTACATGCCAGGTCTCTGATCACTGTCTGCAAGAACACCTCTCAGGGACGCCCTAGAATTGACTCTTGCATTTGGAAGGAACTGAGTCTGATCTTTATGTCCCCTTCCAATTTATGATCCACCAATTTAAATGGATAGAAAATCACAAAGCATTACTTAAATTTTTGGTCGACTATAATCTCAGAAAATTCTATTAATAGAAGAGGAGCTTGAAACATCTAGATCAAAAACTATAGAGGTGAAACATTAGTTGTTGTGTGAACAGATGGCACACACTTACTACTTTTGATACAATAATGTTTTGTGGCTTTAATAGCACTTTTTTTCTGGAATAAACTTTAAAATCACTTGGTTCATTTTACAGATGAGGAAACAGGCTCTGACTTGATCACATTCATGTATCAATTTAGTGGTTGACATCCTGAAGACTGGATTTCAAATAAAAGTAAGTATGTTCCCACAACACTGTACTATTACTATCACCTTTCTATAGAACAAAGTTCTTATTTGGATAGATCATTATGGGGCCAGTAAACAAATAAATAATTTATTTGAAATAGATGAATACTGAATTCCTTATTAATGTTATTTAATTAAATATATATTAAATCAGCACCGATTATATCACCTAACATTATTCTTAGTACTGTGGGGGATATATTGCTTTATTTTTCTTCTTTAAAGAAAGACCTTTAAGTGCTTTTAGTTTCTTGTTAGAGACATGGAACATACATAGAGAAATATTGAGGAAAATTACTACACTCTACTTTTATGAAAACTGTTAAGTCAATTTTTAAGCACTATTGAAGGTTTTTAAAAATTCACATTGTGTATGTGTGCATGTGTGTGTGTGCAAAACTTAAGATAAACATTCAGGCTAGTTGCAGTGGCTATGTCTGTAATCCCAGCTATTTGGGAGGCTGAGTTGAGAGAATTTCTTAAGTTCAGGAGATTGAAACCAGCCTAGGCAATGTAGTGAGACTCTGTCTGTAAAAAAAAAAAAAAATTTTTTTAACTAAACTGGGCCTTCTTTTGGTCCAAACCCTTATATTCCTGGGAATTGTTGCTTCTCCTCCTTCACAACCTTCGTCTGCTAGTTTCCTATAAAGATGGGAGCAGCCATCTTCAAAGGAAATGTTCTCTTTGGCCAAATTGATTCAGCCAGCAATTGCCACCTAATCCATGCTTACCAAGTAGCTTTCTTTCCTGGCAATGTTGGCCTTAGGAAAGGCAGAGTTAATTTAGATCAGTTTCTCTCGTTTAATTTTTTTTTTTTGAGACGGAGTTTTGCTTTTGTTACCCAGCCTGGAGTGCAACGGCGCGATCTCGGCTCACCACAACCTCTGCTTCCTGGGTTCAGGCAATTCTCTTGCCTCAGCCTCCCAAGTAGCTGGGACTACAGGCACATGCCACCATGCCCAGCTAATTTTTTGTATTTTTAGTAGAGACGGGGTTTCACCATGTTGACCAGGATAGTCTCGATCTCTTGACCTCGTGATCCACCCGCCTCAGCCTCCCAAAGTGCTGGGATTACAGGCATGAGCCACCGCCCCCCGCCAGTTTCTCTCTTGTTAGCTGAAGTTGAAATTTGTAATTTGGAAATCCAAACGGGGCCAGGGGGTTTTCCAGTATGTAGAGGGAATAGCAAAGAGAAAAGAAAAAAAGGAACAGAGAGGAAGTCAGACAACAGAGAAAAGCCCTCAGCACTCAGACCCTGTGTTCTAGCTGCTCCAGAAGTCCAGTGGCTTCTTTCCCTCTTTAGTCTGGTTGTTCAATTACTCCCTGGATTCTAGTTTTTCAATTACTCCTTGGATTCCCTTGAATTCCACCAATAAATTATCTCTCTTTTCACCTAAAGTCAGTTCAAGAGGGTTTTCTGAAATTCACAATAGTAAGGTCCTAGAAAAGTAAAAAAAAAAAAAAAAAATCTGAAAAACAAAGGTGACTCAATATATGTCACATACCCAAATAGAGACAATGCAGCATAGTGGAAAAACTGCTGACTGGAAGTGAGAAGGTTTAAGTTATGGCTCCAGCTCTGTGTTGACTAGATAAGCTTTGACCCATTTTTAAAGTCTCTAGTTGGCTAATCAGAAAAGTCAGAGGATGGGGTGGGCTTTTTACAACTATCTTAGTGGAAAACTCTCTTCAAACAAAACAAAACAGATAAACCAATATATTAATCAGAGGGAAGATACTCTGGTTTGAATGTTTTTCCCCTACAAAACTATGTTGAAATTTAATCCCTAATATGGCAGTATTGAGAGATGGAGGCTTTCAGAGGTAACTGAGTCTCGAGAGTTCTGCATTCATGTATGGATTAATCCATTCATGGATTAAAGGGCTAAATGGATTACAGGGTTAACATGGGACTGGGACTGGTGGCTTTATAAGAAGAGGCAGAGAGACCAGAGCTAGCACACTCAACCCCCTTGCCATATAATGCCCTGGGCAGCCTTGAGACTCTACACAGCATCCTTACCAGCAAAAAGGCCAACACCAGATGCAGTCCCTCCCTACACCTTAGACTTTCCAGTGTCCATAATCATGAGAAATAAGTTCCTTTTCTTTGTAAATTACCCAATTTTTAGTATTCTGCTATAAATAACAAGAAACAGACTAAGAGGAGAAGAGAATGGGGACAAGGGGTCCAGGTCCTCTCTCTTACTCCCCACAAAAAGCTTCATGGAACAAATAGAACAAAGCACTAGAAAATGTCTAAGTCTCAAATCATCTCTATCATTCTGTGGTTTAAAGAACTAAACAATAAGGAGTTTTAGTTAGGAAAGGTAAACTGTTAGTTAAATTCCAATAAGAAAAGCAGGAAAAAACATTCTGGGGTGGAACTAGTAGCTAATTATACCCAAAAACTGCTTTCGACAAGTAAAAGTTCCCTGACAGATTCTCTTGAAACATCCACAGGGAGAGTTACTCCATTTTTTCACTGATGGCCTATTATTCTTCTCTTCAGAGATCAGTTGAAGATTTTTTTCCCACCTGCCACTTGTAAAGAAAAGGCAAGTGATACTTGATGACAATGTAGAAATGGGGCCATCTTGACATAAATAGAATGATTATTGTGATGTCAATTCTCAGATCAAAAGCAGAAAGAAATTCTGAGGATGAAAAGCAGTTAAAGGCATAAATATAATCAAAAATAAAAATCAACCCTCAGATCACTGACAGAAAACAAGTTGGTGCTCGCCTGCTGATAATCCCTAATTGAATTTTTTGACCATAAATACACATTGATTTTTTTCTTCCACTTGTTTAAAAAAAAAACACATTATTTTGAAAATTATATGCTGAAAGGTGGTTTTAGTTTTCAGTTTGTAAAAGCAAACACCCTTTACAGAAAATAGGTCTGCAGTGCTCCCCCATTCTGACAGACTCATTCTCCTTCATGAGAGATATTGTATCTAATTTTACTTTGTTTGAAAAGTGATCTACTCCTTACATTTCAGTCAGTTCTACAAGTCCTGAGCATATCTGGTTCTATTCAGGTAGCCTGAAAACCTCTATAGAATAGGCTGTTTCATGAGCTTACACATTTTCTGTATCTCATTGTTGAACCGGAATAGTAATACCTTGTATTTTCATTTTTTCCAACATCTTTTCTAAGTGATGGTAGCAGTTTGTAGGTTTTTTTGTCAGATATCCTGGAGATAGGAGAAAGTTTTAATGACTTTCTGTTTAACCAATACCATAGGCAGCAAGAGTCCTTTCATAGCAGATGGTAAAAACTACTGCAAAAAAGGAGAATGAGAACAATGCCTAAGGTTAAACAGCAAAATCTGGGCCAGGTTTAGGCTTATAATTTTTGTTGTCTGAATTTCTCCTTAACAGTATATGTGAGGTTCCACTGACTCTCAGAAAGACAGAAAGATCCAAGAAAACGGAAACTGTGTTAGATTTGGATCCTCAAAACTTAGTTTTTTCCATATTCTGCATCATGCTCTATGTTGTGATAAGAACTTACCATTTAACATGTCAGTCCATCAGATTTTTAATATTGTTGAAAATCTCTGGATAAAAATGCTCATAAAAATGAATATGAAGGTATATAAATAAACTCTGTAAACACATAAATATAATGTGCTCATGTTACATACTTGCAATATACAGAATGTATTTCTTTGATTCAAAAATGAACACTTTTTTGTTTCAGACATTTCCAAAATTATAATTTACTGAAAATTGATATTATTATAAAGTTGCTGTTAACCAGGCAACAGTTGTGATTTATCAATGACTAATCCTGGGTAGAGAGCAGAGCTAGTTTTCCATTCTACTATTCCTTGAATTTCTCTGTATCTTTAAAATTTTTCATAATAAATGCTTTGTGGAAATCTATTAAATTAAATAATTTAATCAAATCAATCATTAATTAAATTAACTTAATTAAATAAGCCTATTTAATTAAAGTCTTTGTGGCACAGGGCATAATGTTTTGTTGAAAAATGTGGACATCAATAGCTCTCACTATAAAAGTATTTTACAAGATTTAGACTCTGAATATGCAGAAATTCTAGGAATAATGTAACCATTTCTTTTTGCTTATCTGATCTATGAGACAGATAATTTTAAAAATCTAAAAGAGTTCTTTTAAAAAACATAAAGTCATTTTCAGTGACAAGAAAGCATCCTGTCAAAGGTTAACTGGAGTCGCTTTTTTCATCTTGGTGCTACCAAAAATAATGGTGAATTGCACAATATAAAATACTCTTAGTAATATTTCCAAAGCTATATGTCATAAAAAATGTATAGCTTTAACTTTTGTATCTGAGCATTAAATAAATATGCTAGCTACCACTTAATAAACATCCATAATGTTTATTTTAATAATACTTAATATACTTAATCCTTAATCCCTAAAAAATTATTTTCTTCATTTTACAGATAAGGCAACTTAGAGGGATTGGTAGCTTGCCAACTGTTCTATAGTTACGGAAGTAGTAGAGCCATAGACTAGAAGAAAATAGGTGCAAATCATATATATAAAATAAAGATTTTGTACTCAGAATATATAAAGGGCTCTTAAATAATAAACAATAAAAAATGAGCAAAGTATTTGAACAAACATAACTAAAAATATAAAAATGACAAATCAGCACAAGAAAAGATGCTCAAAAACATTAGGTTTTACTGAAATGTAGATTAAATCATGTGATACCCTTACACTCAAATTGGAATGTCTAAAATTAAAGGATTGACCATAAAAATTTTTGGTCAGGATATAGAGGAGCTGGAACCCTCAAGCACTGAAGTTGAAAATTTAAAATGATATAGCCACTGTAGGAAACAGTTTGGTGGTTTTAAAAAGCTGAAGCATACATGTACATATGATCTAGGCATTCTACTTCTAAATAATTAAAGAAAAGATATAAAAGCATATGTCTGTAAAAAACTTATACATGAATGTTCATAGTAGCTTTATTTTATAAT